TGTTTGCCCCCAACTGCCCCTCACTGCCAGCTTGCTCTCCCTCAGCTGTCCTCCCCTGCTGGCCTGATCACCCCCTACTGCCCTCCCCTCCTGGCCTGATCGCCCCTAACCGCCTCCGCCTCAGCCCCGCCACCATGGCTTTATCCGGAAGGACATCCAGAAGGTCTCCTGGTCTAATTAGCATATTAGCCTTTCATTAGTATAGATAATATTTCACTGTAATGATATATTGTATTTTTTAAATATTTGTACACATTTGCTTATATTTTCGAGGAGAAACAATATAATAAAAAGATAATAAAAACTAATAAAACTATATAGGGGGTGGGAGGGGTCAGGGTAGAGGAGACCAGGATGGGGGCAAAACTTATCTGAATACACCTTGGTATATAATTTGACTTTGGAATAAAGTTTTGAGGCAATTATAACACAGATTACATCCAGAAAAAAACCACACAAAATGAAAAAAGAAAAAGAAACATACATACAGTCAGCCAGAAGAGTGCAGACTTGATACACCATAAGCAAGCAGGAGGTATTTGAGTCAACTAAATATTTATTGAGGACCTATGATGTGCTAGCTGCTGGGATATAAATACGCATACCCTGTTCCAAAGGCTCTACCAACTAGGTGAGGGAGAGAGACAACACATGTTATGGTGATACACACAGGGTATGACAGAAACACCCAGGAGGGAAGCCTCTCCAGCGAGTTCATAGAAGTCTTCTTAAAGGAGGTGATCTCAAAAGTCAGTAATGAATGGTAATACCATATGTAGAGAACCTGAAGCACTTCAATATTATTTTAACTTATAGTTGGAGACAAGAGATAGGTGATTAATTATGTCAACATGTACAGTAGTTAGAAAAAAAGAAACCCCAAACAGCCCACGAAACAATCCCTCCCCCCACCAAGAACTAGGCAAAAGGCATTCACAAGGCATTCCTAGTACATAAACGCCAAGTATATCTAAGTAATCCAATATATGCATGGACAGTCTGAAGATGCTTAGCTAAACTGATTTTTCCCCAAGTTAAGAACGCCATCAAACTCAGTTTCCATTTTAACCCCCACATTATTTGTAACATAACCAATTCTCATCGGCCAGGGAGGCAAAAACCCTTAAGGGCAAGATGTGGTTGGAGCTTTCAAACTGACGTCCCTCAAGTGGTACAATACAGATCCCTTCCCGGTACGGAGTCCATGTGCCCCACCCTGTGAAGGAGGCAAAGACAGAAAGGGGGAGGAGGAAGCAGGACCAGGTGGAAAAGCGGGGCGCCGGGCTGTTCAATTTTGAATGAGACGAAGAAAAGAAAAACCAGAGCAGCAAGGCAAAGGGAATAACAGAGCCTATTGAGGGGACCAGGCGGCGGCTCCGGCGCAGGCGGGAACAGCAACAGCAGCGGGGCAGCCACAGCTTACGAGAACCACGGGGCAAAGCCCCCCACGGCTTCGGCTTCGGCTTCTTTGGCTTCGGCTTCTTTGGCTTCGGCTTCGGCTTCTTTGGCTTCGGCTTCTTCGGCTTTAGCTTCAGCTTCGGCTTTGGCTTCTTCGGCTTCGGCTTCTTCGGCTTCGGCTTCGGCTTCGGCTTCTTCGGCTTCGGCTTCAGCCGGCTTCACCGAGTCGTAGTGCTCCCCGCCAAAGCTGGAGGTGTAGCACCTGTAGACGAGGGTGAGCGGCTTCTTGGTGTCCTTCTCCCCGATGAGGAGGACAGATGACTCCGTCTGGATCACCTCGATGGGGCCCTGTAGGATGTGCGACAGGGCCCTCAGTTCGAGTTGGCCTCGCCACGATGCGTTGTGCACGATGTTGTCGCAGTAGTTGAAGAAGTCCTCGCGGGTGTAGACCTCGCGGGTTTCGGGGTCGCTGAAGAAGGGCAGGTATTAGTGGACGAGATTCCCCATGTAGTTGGCGGCGCGGCCCTGCAGGCTCTCCACGGTCACGGAGAACGGCAGCTGGTCTTGGACGGCGCGGCACATGCAGTGGTTGTCGGCCGGGATCTCCTTCATCTCCAGGTTCTTGGCCTCGAGGGTGACCGCCAGCTTCTCCTCCTCGTCGTGGCGACAGCTGGCCAGGTACCCCACTCGGCAGTGGCCGCCGCCATCTTCTGGCGCTCTCTCTGCAGCCCCGCCCTGCTTTCGCGCCTTCTCTGGGCCCTCGAGAGGCAAGGAGGCCGGTTCTCAGGAGCCATCTTGGCCAGACCCTCTGTGAGGGAATCGAGGTTGCTGCTGGCAGGGGGAAGCTCTGTGAACCTCCCCAGCTCCCTCTGTTGTTTCTGCTCCATTTCGGCCTCAAGGCGGCCACGTCAAGGAGCAACTGCTTTCTTTTCTTCTTGTTGTTCTTAGGGACCGAGTTCTTCGTGGCCTGGATGCGGTCCTGCAGCTCTTTTTGCTCGCGGAGGTGGCGATGCTTCAGCCGCTGATACTCAAGCTGCAGATCTGCCTGGTGTTTGGCGAGAACCCAGTTTGGTGGCAGCGAGAGGACCCGCCACAGTTCAGTCCAACTGCTCCAACCTCCAACAGGTAGCTGATCTCAGCCTCCAGTGGCAGGCTGCTCTAGAATACAATATTTTTACCAAACATTCTCACTAAGATACATTCCAAGGCTAACAAATAGTTTAAATTAGATTTAGCAATTTTACTAGTAATAGTAATGTTGAGGCGGTTAGGAATTAAGACTTCCCCATGACAGATAAGAAATAAGCATAAATTTAAAAATATATATAGTACGTGAAAACCCTGTATATTTAAATTTGAATTGGAAGTTTAGCAAGATCTTACTCTTCCCTTTAATAAAAGATAGATGTGGCCTTTAAATATTCCCCCCTGACAGAATCCAGAGAAATGCTTGCTTCCAAGTGTGAGGTGGGGAATGGACTTGGTCGTCTAACCTCGGTCACCAACTGATGGTCCGTGGAGAAACAATATAATATAAAGATAATTGCTGGCATTGCGTCCTCAACAGAGCTGAAATCTGCCTCTGAGATTCCCAAACCTGGGTTCTCGTCCCAGCTCTTCTTCCTGCTCCCTCCAAAGGCATCAAGTTCTGCACCGTGTTGAGCCCAGATTCCTCACCTCTGAAACGAGAAGGAGAATGAACCTGTGTGTCCTTTTCGCCCTTGAAAACCATGTGGAACGACCACAGATTTCTCGCATACCTTCCGACTTGCTGATACCATGAATTCTGACTGTTTCCCCCATTATTACATTCTTAAATGGGCATGTTCACGAAATTCCATCG